TATATATATATATATATATATATATATATAATATATTTGCCATTATCTGTGTATTTTCCGATAGCGAATTAAACAAGTGAATATATAAGTTTAAAATATTCATTTTTTTATTATAATATAAAAAATTATTTTAAATTTAATGTTGCTTATAATCAATGATAACTTAATAATATTAGCAATAGAATTTAGAAGAATTTTAATTACAAATAATATGTATATATATAGATTTAATAGTACTATTTGATTTTAAGTAACTAATTTTCTACAACAGAAGTGTACAATACAGATTAAAAAAATAATTATGGATTATGAAATAGCATAATATTCAATATCAATTACAAGTTGAACATTTTGAGTAGTAATATAGGTAGTTTAAAATAATTTTTTGTAACATTAATTTGAAATATATAAAATGAATAGCAACGAATCGTTCTTAATAATTATCATTAATAAGAAATATTAAATATTTTATTTACTCAGACATTTTTTTACACTCATACATTCAGTATTGTGTCAATTTAATCTATTTTACTGAATATTTGATAATATCTTATTATTTCTAAATGAAGTTTAATACTAACTATCAATAAGACGACAATTATCAAAACTATTGCAATTCATTGTATTAGTCATTCGTATTATTATTTACACATAACATGTCTGTACATTAATAATAAGATTTTTACATACATATCACAATAAGTTAGACTGTTGAAAGCAACTGAAAAATAATAGTATAGTAGAAAGGTTTTCTATTTAGTTATTCATTTTTAATATAAATTCAATTTCAAATTATAAATTTAATGTAATATATCGTTTGATTTTTATAATCGTAGTGTTAGATACATTTATCAAATTTAATTTAAAATTTATTATATTAGTAAAATCATAGTAATGTATCAATATTTTGAAAATATTTAATGTAGATATCTTTTCAAATATATTTTTTTAATTATTCCTATATATAAATATATAATAAACAAACAATTGTTAAAAAAAAATATATCCTTTTTTTTTTCATCTATATCATTCATCTATTCATTATTAATCATTTCAGTAGCAATAGATACAAATAATGCATAAAATGTTTATTTTCTAAAATATAATATCAACTCAATTAAATAAAAGAGCTTTTTTTTAAGTAGCACATTTAAATTTGAAACTATTCCATATTTAAATTTTTTTTATGTATTATTTTATGTATTAAACAGTGAACAAGATAAATAATAATAAATTAGTGAGATTAATTTTACTTAAAAATGTTTGTTTAATATACACTAACCGGTATACACTAAAAGTTCACAATTATTTATTAAACAAGAAAGCAGCATAACATATAGTATGTTTCATTTAATTTATCGAATTTTAATATAATCTTTACTTTTGAATTACCCTATAAATAATTCAGTTTTTAATTTTTTATAATTATATTATGATATCTTAATATTATACATTTCAAAAAGATATTTGAATAATTTATTAATATTTATTAATATTAATATTAATTTTTTATTTTATTATTTATAGTAGTTTATTAATAATTACAAACATTAGAATATTATAGAATATTTATGAAATATATAATACAAACATATATTCATTTATATTTGCTTCCTTTTTCTCGATAATATATTATTATATAATGCAAGTTACATGTAATAAAAAGTATATATTTATATTCATACTTATAAGTATTATTTATTATTTTTAGAATATGAATAATTAGAACTTGCATTGATAATTATTAAATATAACTAATTTTAATCCGTCAATTTTAGTATGACAAGAGCATAAAAAAATGTGAAAACACTATTCTTACTTCCGTAAATTATTAATTATTAAAAATATATTATCAAACATCTTCAACTAATTTCTTATCTCAGGCAAGAGGGTTAAATAGAAAAAATAATTTACTTTAATATGTACAAAAAATACAAAAATGTACTGAATATAGTTTATATCGTTGCATCATTTTTATTACGATTTCTAAGAAACCCAGTAATTACAAATTTTAACGGTACAGACTTCTTTTTGAATTAATTAATATAAAATTAATATAAGAAGCATTGTAAATATTTTATTATAAAAAATTTTACTGTAAAATAATTATAAAATAATGAAAAAGTGAATAGTATTTTTAATTATACTATTGATAAGTTTTTTCTGTTTAATTAATATACAATTTTATTATGATTTTCTTTAATCGTGTCTATTTTAATTTTTCAAATGACATGATTATATTAAACCTTTCTTTATTGATTTGTCAAATGAAAGATAAATGCAAATTTTTAACTTGAGGGAAAATTGTTAATATCAAAACATTAAAGAAATTCTATAAAAGTAAATGATACTTTTTGACAATTATAAACACTTAAATTTAAGTTGCTGAATTTAAAAAGTAACGTAAGCATTAACATAAAAGTGTTGTGATGAATGGTGGAAGATCTAACTACTTCTTGCTCATCGTGCACTTTACAAAGTCACATCAAAGAATGTAATAGTATAAGAGACAAACTAGAGAGGTATTTGGAGTAGAAATGCAAGAAAAAGAGAGAACATACGATTATGTAAAAGAAGATGTTGAACTGAGGAGCCAAATAGTGGGAGAACGCTTGAAGTCAGCAGCAGCAAAAGTAGTAGTTATCGATGTCGTAGCAACAGTAGTGGTAGTAATAGCATAAGTAGTAGTAGTAGCGGTATGTGTCTACAGAATGAAACTGGGATCGAGAGAAGTACAGAACAAACTACCGGTGAAGAAGTCAGCGATACAAGTAAAGCAGTAGCACCGCCGTCGCAAGCTAAACTTTGGGATCTATTGAAATAAAATTTTCATGTAGTTTTCTTCCTTGTTCCTGCTTCTCTCTCATGCCAATCCGACGTCGAATGATAATACGTGCGCCTCTTCGATCAGGATTGAACTGTACCAAATGACTTGAAGTAGAAAAAAGACAATCTATGATTCTCTTTCTTGTTGTTACACTTGTATGCTCTTTTCCCATCAGTCGTGAGAGAAGGAAAAAACTTCAAGAAACTTTCTCGTCTAGGATCAGTAACTAAGGGAGGGAATTCACATTCGAAGCCCGAAAGAAAGAGAGAGAGAAAGACAGACAGACAGACAGAGGGTATACGTGTGTAAGTGAAAGAGAAAAGGAAGAAAAAGAAAATAAAGAGTAACAGCTTTTCTTGCTTATTTTATTGTCGCGTTTGCCGGCGCTAACCAACTCGTTCGCTCTCTGCGCGATATCACCGCCGGCACGAGAAGCCGCCGGGACTTGTGTAAGGAGTAGGGAGTATGCTGTCGACTACAGGAGAAAGAAAGAAGAGAAAGAGGTGGTTCCGAATGCTCCCCTTCCAAGCTGTGGATCCACCCATTCGTCTGCAGGGTGGGGAGCGAGCACAACAAACCGCCTCGCAAAAATCTGCCCCCTTTTCCCAAGAAAGAAAAGAACGACAGCGACAATTGCCACCTCCACTGAGATTCGTGCGACAAAGACGGAATGGCGAGAGGGAGAGCCCCCCCCCCTCTATGCGCTATTTCTTCCGCTTTCCTACACAGACGCATTATTCTCGATCTGTTGAGTCGTTTGGAACTATCAACGGTCATCGAACGAATAGGATGGGGAGAGAGGGCATTGAATGTACGAGGAGAAGAGGTGCAAGATGACTGCCTCTAAACATACCTCGGTGGCCCAACACACACCAACAGCGGAGCAATTACTCGCTGTGTGCCGCCCCTCAGACCGTTTGAGAAAAAGAGTAATAGCGTGTGGCGGGGCAAGGGAAGAGGGAGGCAACGACTATGTTGACGACGACAGAAAGAGAGAGAAAGAAGTCTTCTTCTATGCCGGGAACGATTGGAGCGGGGGGCGTTAGAATCGGGAAAGAAGAACGAACGAGTGAGAGGGACGAGGAAAGCGAGTGCCACCGCGTTACACGCCGCGCCACGGTCGAGGGCCGAGCCGCTGCCAAGCCAGTTTGTACTTGGCGCCCAGAGAACCGAGAGTCTCGTTTCTGTCGCGTACGGACCAAGAACGGGAGGCGTTTCTGCGTGTGTACGTGCGTATGCGTAAGCGGCGTTACGACTCGCACGCACGTGTCCACATCCGTGCTCCATTGAACGCTTGAATCATCTACAACAGCTAACTGCCCAAGAAACGGACATCACACGCACGTTTTCCTCATCCTCGTCACCACAAATAGCCTCCGCGCCCCTCCGAGGATATCAATCCCCACCGAGTCTTTCACTTCGTCTCACTCAGGCGCTACTCTGCCCCACTGCGTTCGTCGCCACTGCTGCCACCACTGCTGAAGCCGCCACCGCCGCTGCCGCCGCCGTCGCCGCCGCCGCCGTCACCGCCACCGTCGTCGCTTTTTGCCCGCTCCCCCTTCTTCGACTTCAACTACCAGCGCTCCGTCTCGCTCTCGGCTGGCGACACACATACATACGTGCGCGCGCGCTCGCGCGCGCGCGCGTGCCTCCACGCACACGATCACCGAATAGAAAGAAGAACGGGGGAGAGTGAGAGAGACGGCGTACAGGAGACCGGACTGGATTCCGTCGAAAAGAAACGACGTTTCGGAGGACGATAGTCGTGACCGATCATAGCTGGCGCGTCGATCGGGGATCCGGACGCTGCTGCTACTCCGCTCTGCTCTACTCTGCGCGGTGACTGCCTCCGCCGGGCTGCGGCGCCGCTCCTCCCTGTGAGTGACGCGTGTGGTGTGTCAGCAACCTTGGTTTTTAGTGATTTCCGGAGAGCGGATACGGATATTTTCAAGGTCATCGTGGGATTTGCGAGGGCACGAAGTGGAAGGTACGTTTTGAGCAACGTCAATGATGACTTGAGAAATATGTGAGGAAGGCCCGAGTATACATGATCAGTGAACAGTGCGATCAAACCGTTTCCGTCGTGCGTTCATTCGTTCGTTCGTCTATTGTTCGGCCGCACGATATTCGTGAACGGCTGCACTCTGACATCTGTGCTGCATGTACCGTACCGATCGCGCACGAGTCGTAGGAAGAGAGAGAGGGAGAGGAGCGCGTGCACGGGACACGTTTATCGCTCAGATAACGCGTGAGCTGGAGGGCGGACGAACAGCCCGTTTGCGCCGACTGTGTCCGCGCGCTCGTTACCATCTACGCAGCCGTATACGCACCGTGTATACGTGTTGAATGCGCGTATGTGGACGGCAAGGATAAAACGATGATAGCGTAGCGGGCGTCCCCGAACATCGCGGCCCTTTCGCGGCCGACGCATCATGTCACAGTTCTCCTTCAGACGATCGCCAAATTTACAGGTGAGTCTTTTAGTACAAGAAAGAGTGACCTCTCACCCAGTTCTGACTTTCTTTTTCGATGAGGACTCCTACATTTCACATACCACGATGAATGAAATATACAGCTCTTAGGGAGCTCTTTATGGCACTGTGAGAGGTGCTACCAAAGACCATCTCTCTTTATGACTTTTATAAAACAATGTTGATCATAATCTATCGTTCCAGTTAATGAAATTAATATGTACGATTTAATGAATATTTGTATTGTATAAATTGTTTTAAGCTGTCAGTGTATAGTTATATCCCATATTAGAAAAATTAATCATTTAGATTGTTACTGTACAGAAACTACTTATAAGTCATTAATATTATAATCATCATATATTGTTGAGTTTAAGAGATTCTTATAAGCGTATACCTTATAAAATCGATATACCAAAATTTTTTTACGAACACAATCAATATGACAAAATTAAATTATAATAATCGATGCAACCAAATTAATTTTTAACAATTTTTTATAATGTATTAGATTATCTATTATTTACTTTGAAGCTTTGAATCTTTTAACACATAACTGATTCTAAAATGACTGATGTAATGTATAGAAATTATAAGTTGGTTATATGATAATATATTCAAGGTCTTTTATAATTCTTTATTCCTCTCAAATAGAATTTAAATTTCAAAAATTGTTATTAAAATAATTTTAAATTGTATTTTTTATTAAAAAAATGCATTTGCATTAACTGATAAAATATTATAATTTCAAATGATGTTTTTTAAATATTATTATCTTTGAACAGCCTTTGTTTAAAACTAGATTTAAACGCTTCTACAGTTCTTGGTACAAATTTATCATCGCAAGTTTCCAAACAATACGCTAACCGTCGTTCGTCAAAGGCCTTTAGTGGTCTTTATTAGATATATTGAAATCAGTTGTACTTGTATAATAATTTTACAAAGATCTCACAAAATAGTTCGAGATATTGTCATCGAATTATTATTTATTTATATTTCAAGGAGAATGTCTAAGAGAATGAGAAACAGATCTAGACAACGCAGATTTAAAAGCAAAACAGAATGACATAACATGACAGACAAAATAACTAAGTCTTCCATATTATGCTGTACTCCATAAGTTTTAATTTACGCGACATGAAACGTTTATGGTAGATAAAAACCTTTTTTATTATATTATATCAGTGCTATGCAGCATCTGTACTTTTATATAATACTAAATTAAATTTCTCATAAATATAAAGGACAAATCATTTTTATTTAATATACTTTTAAGTTTTTATTGTAGGAATTATCTATTAAAATGAATAGAAAAGAAATTTTTTATTTTACTTTTAATTAATTCTTTATTCAAATTCGTGAGCGCTAAAGTAACTGACTAAATGCGCAATAGTCTTAATTATATTTAGAATATTTTCAGATCATCATGTTCGTTGTCACAATTATACTTGCTTGTAATTTATAAAAAATTAATTTATTACACTAATAAAATCCACCTATAAATTATAGTGATTTACAAAAACAATCGTACATAATAAGAACAATCTTGTAATGCTGTAACCTGGTATTTTTTATACAAATAGAAATTACTAAATCAGAGTCTGATCAAATTAAATGGAAACAACCAAACAGACTTTTAGTAATAGGAAATTCTAATGGTTCTAATGGTAATCAATTATTTCGCAAATTACAATTAAACATGCATATACATATGGAAATTGCGTTGTCAGGCTTTAAATGACGCTAAGCCATTTTCCTTGCGCCGTGTAACCGCGCACACGTGTATCCAACGTATTATTCACGCATGTAGGCAACAGTGTTTTGCATGTGTACGTGCAATATCTTATATGAAAATGTGTATTGCAAAAGTAATTGAATTGACTGTTCGATGTTAATTTATTCATGATTTGAATTTATATAGATCAACGCGTGAAAACGGCGACAAATTTTTGAACCATATAAACGAGGTGCAAATTTTCGAATCGAAGCCAGACTAGATTGTAGTTAAGCTTGGCGTGGAAAGAGAAATACGATAGCAGTTATAGCATATAATATTATGCCGAGTATTGCACTATATTTCGTGACATTTATGTGCATTTGAGAATTCGGGTTTTTCATAGAATATTACATCATTGTCATTTTAATCAGAAATGTTATTATTTATTTTTTTACTGTTAATAAATAAACGTGTCTGAATAAGCATGTATTAAAATAATTTATTTAAAAACCAATATTAAGTCTATGTAATTTGTAACATTCTTATATATGTCATAATATGATAGAGGGAAATTTTATTAGTTCTGTAAGATAAAAAGAACAATTAAGGAAATGAAATATAATGCAAGTTACGTTAAGCTTATTATTTTATTTCACAACGTACTTTTATTATTAAATAGAAAGAAGAAATTTTGAATATTACAAGTATAAGTACTCTATTGTATTTATTTCTAATTATTAAATAGATTGAAGTTTAGATAAATAAGATAAATATGTAAATGTAGGCATTATTTATTTGTAAAATTATTAATTTTTTAATGTAATTATCCATTTTCTATATTATATTTTTTAGATATATTCATACTAATATTATAATATACTATATGTATAATGTATGCAAAATTAAATATTTTCATTTAAATAATAATATAAATTTAAATAATATTAAATTATTTAAATAAAAAATTAATAAATATAAGTCATTGCAATGTAATTGTAGTTTAGTTTTTGTAGTTTTGGATACATATATAACAGGTAATTTATGATGTTCGATGATGAGATTTATGAGATTCAATTTTTAATTCGATTATTAGTCCAGAGTTCGTAAAAGTAATATTACTAACCTTTGAGACGGTCAAATTATTTGATCAAAAGGCATTTAATAATGACATTTACAAGTGACAAATCTGTAAAGTTAATGTTTCATTAATCTAATAAAAAAATATATATATAATCAATTGATCGACAATTTTCAATATATATATACATTATATACATTATAGCTTTTTATCATCACTTGAAATGAAATCTCGAATAATTAATGCGATCGAATGCGAAGTTGTGAATGTATGCACTGGTCATTATAAAAAGCGATGTAAATCAATATGGACGATCAATGAGCATTCATATGTATTTCATATTGTAGTCTCGTTAGTACGTTTTAATACTCATGTAATAGATGCTGGCGCAAATTAATATTTTGAAAGACGACAATAATTTACGTGCCATAAACCGGTCTTGTGCGGGCGAAAGTTCTATGTTCGGTTGTTTTGTCATATCATATCTAAGCCCTCACATAATATTAATTGAAATGACCAAAAAATTACATTCTAGAGAAAAAATTCATCAAAATAATTAAAACATTTACTACATTTCTATAGAGTAAGTTAAAACAATAAATAGTTAAATGAATGCAATTATTTTATTTTTATTTTTAGATAAATTGTTACCATTACAATATTAATTTATTAAATTGAATTCTGAATATGTCAATTATTAATCCATTTTCAATATAATAAGCCTAATCAACGAGTATTTAAATCAAATGTAAATATTCACTATAAATTTAATTTTTAAATATGAATTCTTGTGTATCTCTTTTTGTCTTTATTTTACATAGATTTGGTTTATTTAAAATTAATATAAAAATAATTTTATTAAGTTATTACTTGCTTTTAATTGATTTATATATCTGTTATAAATAAATATAAGTATAAGTATATAACTTGGACAAGTTAGATTAAAAAGTAGTAATTTGACATAACTTTATAGTTTTCTAAATTTCTAAGATAACCTTGACAAATACAATTCTTGTAATACAAACGATAAGTGCCACGATTGTTCACTGTATTCACCATCCTCGAGTGCTCCGAAGTATGTGCAATAATGTCTCCGGTAAGTGACGAACAAACGATAAAAATTTGCGAAAAAAAGGCGGAGAGAACAGGGAAAAAAGAAAAATACACCTTGAGTGCGAGTGTGAATGCATGCGAAAACGAGCTGCCGCGTATTTGTCAAAGTAAAATATGACTGGATGAGAATGCGCACACGAGACTACGAAGGGCTTCATTTTGTGTATTTTTAGATTTTCATGAAAAAATGTCGTGTCGCTCGTAAATTTAGTAAGTATGAGAAAAAATGTTCGACACAAAGTTAAAGAGTGAGACTAGCACAGAAACTAACAGAAGTTAAACAATCAAGTTAATCAGTACTGGCTGCTAACCTGTCAGTTATTCTTAATTGGAAATAATTTTATTTATTATATACGTAATATCTTACATAATTTGGAGAGTGAATCATAGTGAAATATTACTTATAAAACGACTTCTCGTAATAATAACTTATAATTATTTAGAATAATTTGAAGTCAAAATTTCTAAATTTATTACTTTAAGAATGTAACCATGTCTTTTAATTCTATATTTTTATATCTTATTGTAAATATTATTAATTTATTTTTAATTTACAAATATGTGAATTACTTTATCTTCATATAATTTTATTTTCTAAGGAAATACTTTAACGATGTTCTGTAAAAATAAAAATTGGAATGATTTATTAATATTTTAGCCTTAAAATAAAAATTCTATTTTTATGAATGAAAAAGTTCTGGATAAATTATTTAGTTATGTTGTTAAATCAGTTAAAATAATAAAGTAAATTTCCACGTATAAAATATCTATAGAGTACAAATATCAAGTTATTGTTATTGAGTTATTTCCACTATTATATAAACAATTGCATAGAAAAATATTATTATTGGAATTTAGGTTAACTATTTTATATTCACCAACAGTAATGCCAATTTATATATAAAAAATAAATCATGGAATCATTGATGATTACTTATGATTTTTAGATTAATGAAAATTTGTACAAGCAAATTATGTATACGTTAATTATTACTTACGAATAATTATACGAATTTTTTTAAAGTACAGAATTCTCTAAAATATTTAATATATTTGTTCATATTACATTAAATCGAATTTTTTGCGGACGTC